GTACGTACGTTGCAGTAGTGCAAAAATGTGTTCCTCTCTAGGATGCCCTACCCAAATCGTGTCGTGATATTTCGTAATTAATGATTTCCTCAAATCTCCATCCTTAGGAACATAAATGCGGTCTCCCTTAGTCTTCACTAGGCCCCATCGAGCCAGTACTGACGAGTTTTACCCTCTTTGATGAGGTCGACCAAATATTAAGTAATCGGGTTCTTATCCAAAAGTGTTCGAATTTGGTCCCTTATGTTTATAGTAATAGTGCTCCCTGAAAGAGTACCCATAGAGCAAATGGTGGCCAAGTCGGCCCGACGACTAAGAGCATCGATAACATGATTACTAGATCCGGGATGATACTCTAGCATAAAATGAACTCTAAAAGAAGTTCTTGCCAACGAGCCCGTTTGCTTGACAGTTTTTGTTGGGACATTAAGTGACTAACCGTAGTGTTATCCGTCTTCATAATAAATGGAGACCCAAGAAAATAGTGATGACATCCGTAAGGCAATGGACTACCGCCAACAACTTCTTTTCGTATATCGAGTAACGACGTTCTGCTTGATTCATCTTTCGGCTCTCATATGCTACTGGATGTCGTTCTTGCATGAAGACTCTACCAAGTGCAAAATCTGAAGCATCGATGTGAACTTCGAAAGATTTAGTCATATCTGGTAACGCTAACATTGGGTTCATCACATGGGTTTCTTCAACTTTTTCAAAGCATTTTAGCATTGGGATGACCAGTCTCAATCCTTATCCTTCTTTGTCAATTTCGTAAATGGCAATGCAATTTTTGATTACCCTTTCACAAATCATCGATAGTAATTGCATAACCCAAGAAATGAACGTACATCGTGGACATTCTTTGGTGGTTGCCAGTCTTTGATAGCTGTAAACTTCTTCGAATCCATGCATATTTTGCCTTATTCGATGATGTGACCCAACTGATCGATGTTTGAGCGAATGAGCAGTTAGACAGTTTAGCATAAAGTTTATTCTCTCATAACAGATAGAAAACCTGCCTCACACGTTATACATTTTTCTTCAATGTCTCGCTATAGATAACTATGTCGTTCAGGTACACCACCACAAAATTGTCCAAGAACCTGTGAAGTAACTGATTCATCATCGTACAAAACGTTGCTAGAACGTTTGTTAAGCCAAAATGCATTACTTTAAATTCGAAGGCTCCATATCTTGTTGCCACCGTAGTCTTTACTTCATCTCCCTTTTCGATCTGAACTTGCCAGTATCCGAACCTAAGATCGATCTTTGTATAATACCTTGCTTGGCTCGGTCGGTCGAAGTAATCTGCGACCAGCAAAATTGGTTAGCTATTCTTCACAGTGATCTTATTTAATGCTCGATAGTCGCAGCACATTCTAAGAGAAACATCGGCCATTTTTTGAAACAACATTGGAGCTCCATATGGTGATTTCGCAGGCACGATAATCCCACTATCCAACATTTCTCCTAATTGTTTTCGAAACCTTTCAAGCTCTGGCTGAGACATACGGCAGGGTGCTCGGCGGGAGGTTTGAAACCAGGAATAAGCTCAATCTCATGATCAATTGCCCTCCTTAGTGGCAATTTCTTTGGTAACTCATCCAGCATGATACTGAAATTCCTTAATAAGGCTTCTGATCAGTTTTGGAATAGGACCAGTTCTTCGATTTCCTCTAATCGAAGAGTGCACAAAAATGGGGGTTCATTTCTTTTGAGGCCCTTACCAAATTGCATGGCCAAGATACTCTTCTCACCCATCTTCCCAGCTTGTGTAGTATGACGCACAGTTTACTATCCATCATCATTAATGAATTGAAATATGGTAACACTACCGTCTTAGTATCCCGAATAAACTCTAATCCCAAAATAAAGCTTGAAATCATCCATCTGAACTACAGACAAGTTTGTCCTTCCCTCAAAAGGACCCCCTTTGAGCAACACAGATTTCGCTACTCCAACTGTAGGTTGGGTAGTGAAGTTGATTGTTATGACTTTTCCACTTCCTTTCTCCCAAACAAGTCTGAGTCGCTCCACTTCGGTACTTGCTAGGTAGTTGTGGGTAGCAGTAGTATCTACCATAACCCTAATTGGCCTTCCATTGTTCTTCACATCAATGTAAATTATGCCTAAGTCTACAAATACGAGCCTTCAATTATTCCATCTTTACCTTTTTCGAGGGAACATCATCATTTTTAGTAGCTCGGTGCGATAATGTATTGCACCTATATGAGAATACGCCAACTACATCCTCATCCTCTTTGGAGTCGATCTCACCGTGATAGCTAGCTTGTGGGACATCTTGCTTTGAACTCATTCCACCTCCCGCTAGTTGACAATATGCATTTACCATCCGTTTCTGAGGGCATTCTGCTACTCGATGAGGTCATTCACATAAAAAGCACATCAATTTAGGAGTGGCATCAGATCAGCCCTCCATTATTTTTCCTTTATTTCAATTGTTACTGCTGCTACCATTATAGTTTCCTTGAAAGCTGTTTTGATAATTCTCTTGAAAATTACTCTGATAGGTGCCTTGATAGGCTTCTCCTTTATTATTAGAGTAACGCTCTCCCCCATTTAAGTTCAAGCTGGGTCTATAATGCTTCCACCTCCAATAGCTTGACTATTCCCCGAAGGTTGATCTTTCCTCAACTCGGGTTGATAGTCACTTAAACATTCGGCGGCTCACATGGTCGTGCTCAAATCAGTAACCTTCTGTCTCTGAAGTTCCTTACGTGTCCACGGTTTCAACCCTTTCATGAAGGTGAATAGCTTATCCTTTAAAGAAAGTATTGTTCCATATCAAAATAGAAGTTCTCGACTTCATTTGCATCACGTGCCCTTCCGTAGGTACATGGTTTCGAAATTCTGAGCATGGGAATATGATCTCGTGCACGGGCTTGCCCATTACCAACCGCACGTTGAAGTACTAGTAATTGAGCTCTCAACGCTTCCATTTCAACCTGTAGATCAGGCATGATAGCAACAGCTCAATCATTGCTGTGCAAGCCCTTCAGGTTTCATCTAGTTGGATGTGTAATTCACAAATTTTCGTCTCTGCCACCTCGACTTTTTCCTTGAGGTTCTCCACGACATAGCACAACATAGTAGTTGTCTCATCAAGTGCATCCACGCGCTGTTTCGTGCTCCTCTTTTGAGGATCTACGACTTCTGTAGTGTTTGAGGTAATTGGATCCATAACTTTCTTATCGAGGGTCTTGAGCCGCAGCTCTGATACCAACTTTCACGGGGTGCCTTTCTTCTAAACACAGAAATGGATACCGTACGATAGTAGTCTCAGTAGTCTATTCCGCTAGACTACCTTCCGCCTTTTCTCAGTCCTTTCAGAGCGAAATAAAATTTGATTACAATTTGTAGAAAACTTGCAACATAGAATTGAGATGCATTGAAAGTAAACTGATCATTGATTGTTTGAAAGCTAAGAATTACAATTGATTAAAGCAAGATATTACAATGGCTGGGGTAGGGGGCGAACACTAATAAGCTTAAAAGATTTTTGAATGACTAATACCTCCTATAATAGCTTGCGGAACAAAAATCTAAGTGATAGGAGTAGACGCTTAAATGTCGAGGAATCATACTAAACGTTTGCCAATATTAGAGCTATTTTCCAATTGAAATAAATTATTACAATGGAAAAGAAATTACAACTCAAACTTAAACTAATATTTACAAAGTGCGGTCGAAGTTGGAAAAACTGCGGCTGCGATTGGATTAAGGGGCTAGTTGAAACTGCGGTCCTTGACACGTGGCCTCACTTGTCATTGTTACCCTTGGTTCTTGCCATTTTGATCTGTAGAAGAAAGCTCAAGAACAAAGAAAACGATCAAATACAGAGATGGATTTGAGAGTGTTTGTGGAGTGCAAGTACAGTATCGTGCCCTACATGAGAGTCAAAAGGGGAAAAATCGAGTTTATTTAAATTGAACTTTGATAACTGTAAATAAAGGCGTTCATGGGGGAGTTAATTTTAAAACTGAATTTAGGAGGTTATTGCAAACTACCCCCACTTCCACTAGGTAAGTCCTTTTGCTTTCCTAGATTTGAAAATTGGTTTTCCACGCATATAATTCACTTTAAGGCAAAACAATCTTTTAAATCCCAATTTCGTGCAACCTTAATTTCAGTTGAGGCATGTCAATCATTTCATATTCCAGCAAATATAATTTCCAAAATTTGGAAAATTAATAGCCCTCTACATTATGCAAGTAAGATTTAATTTCCAAATTTAGACTGTTGACTGAAAATTTGCGAATGAGCCCACACATGTCAATTATACCTAAATAATGAGGTTTTCTGAAATTCAATCAATTACAATATTTTTGGACAATTTTCATAATCAGCTTAAAATCACCAAGATAATGATGAAAATTCCAATCAGATGTTTGCTTATAATTAATTCAATTAATTTCT